CAGACAAGAGTTCTTTCTCTGTGATTCTAAGAAGCAGCCAGGCTTTGAAGCTGCAAAGCCATTAAATGCTAATCAAGGTGACTAATTGCAACATTCACACTTCCCTCCAACAGACAAGAGTTCTTTCTCTGTGATTCTAAGAAGCGGCCAGGCTTTGAAGCTGCAAGGCCATTAAATGCTAATCAAGGTGACTAATTGCAACATTCACACTTGCCTCCAACAGACAAGAGTTCTTTCTCTGTGATTCTAAGAAGCAGCCAGGCTTTGAAGCTGCAAGGCCATTAAATGCTAATCAAGGTGACTAATTGCAACATTCACACTTGCCTCCAACAGACAAGAGTTCTTTCTCTGTGATTCTAAGAAGCGGCCAGGCTTTGAAGCTGCAAGGCCATTAAATGCTAATCAAGGTGACTAATTGCAACATTCACACTTGCCTCCAACAGACAAGAGTTCTTTCTCTGTGATTCTAAGAAGCAGCCAGGCTTTGAAGCTGCAAAGCCATTAAATGCTAATCAAGGTGACTAATTGCAACATTCACACTTGCCTCCAACAGACAAGAGTTCTTTCTCTGTGATTCTAAGAAGCGGCCAGGCTTTGAAGCTGCAAGGCCATTAAATGCTAATCAAGGTGACTAATTGCAACATTCACACTTGCCTCCAACAGACAAGAGTTCTTTCTCTGTGATTCTAAGAAGCAGCCAGGCTTTGAAGCTGCAAGGCCATTAAATGCTAATCAAGGTGACTAATTGCAACATTCACACTTGCCTCCAACAGACAAGAGTTCTTTCTCTGTGATTCTAAGAAGCAGCCAGGCTTTGAAGCTGCAAAGCCATTAAATGCTAATCAAGGTGACTAATTGCAACATTCACACTTGCCTCCAACAGACAAGAGTTCTTTCTCTGTGGTTCTAAGAAGCAGCCAGGCTTTGAAGCTGCAAGGCCATTAAATGCTAATCAAGGTGACTAATTGCAACATTCACACTTGCCTCCAAGAGATAAAGAGTTCCTTCTCCCATCTTGGACATCATTCCACAGACATAAACCTCACTTGCCTAGTTTCCCACAGACCTCACAACCTTTGAGGATGCCTAGCATAGATGTGGGCGAAACGTCAGGAGAGCATGCTTCTAGAACTCACAGCAACCCAGGATTGGGTAGTGTCCTGATATATATATTTACATCAATATTTTTGAATATAAAAAGTATAGAGACAAAGGGAAACGGAGACAATGAATTTTTGAGTGCTCATTACTTTCTGTAATTACGACGGTTTTTTGCATGCGCTTTACTTCTGCCAATTACGACAGCATCCAACACTCACACCATATGGCAGCTAGAAGTCAAGCAAGTGCGCATGCGCAACTCGGGAACCCAGCAGGGCTCTGCGGGGGCGGAGAAACAGAGAGCTGAACCAATGGCCTCGCGGGGGCGGCTGACGTCAGCGACTACAATAATCAAGAAGGCAGCTGCCACGCCGTTCTCCAACAGCCCCGGTAGCTCGCCGTGATCGTATAGTGGTTAGTACTCTGCGTTGTGGCCGCAGCAACCTCGGTTCGAATCCGAGTCACGGCAGATGGAGGCTTAAATATTTTTTTTGGTTTTGTAATTTCACTAAATGGAAATATTTTCCAATATCCCATTTTAAAGACAAAAATAAAGCTTAACACGTCTCCAAGATTAAAAATACAGCGTTTGGAGCAGGCATGGTTGCTTGGGAAGCCATTTTGCCAAGTTAATCCTGATTGTGCTGCAGGAATTGCTTTTTTTGTATTTGTTTTATGTGTATCCATCCATTGCTTATATTTATCAATTATTTTTCGTCAATCAGAAAGGGTAAATTAGGCCAAGCCAACCACAAATGAAGAGCTGCAGAGGCCTAAAAGAATTGGGAGGTATTTAGAGTGTGTCTACACTGTAGATTTAATGCGGTTTGGTCCCACTTGGAACTGCCATGCCTCAATGGCTTATATTTGTCAATTATTTTTCATCAGAAAGGGTAAATGAGCCCAAGCCAACCACAAATGAAGAGCTGCAGAGGTCTAAAAGTATTGGGAGAGATTTAGAGTGCATCTACACTGTAGATTTAATGCGGTTTGGTCCCACTTGGAACTGCCATGCCTCAGTGTTATGTTTAGTTGGGTGGGAGAACATTAAGGACCTTTTTTCTCAAGATTCCATTGCATTGAGATATAGCGGTCAAAGCAGTATCAAACTGCGTTACCTTTATAATGTAGACACACATTATTATTATTATTATACAAATAATAATAATAATAATAATAATAATAATAATTCTCTCCCGTAAGAGAGAAAAGTAGGATATAAATAAAATTTACTATTATTATTGTTATTATTATTATTATTATTATTATTATCATCATCATCATCAGAAACACAACAAGCAGAGTGCTCTTGTCTGCTGTGGACTTACTATTTGTATCGTTATTATTATTATCATCATCATTATTATTATTTGAAACACAATAAGCAGAGTGACCTTGTCTGCTGTGGACTTATTATGATTATTTGTATTATTATTATTATTTGAAACATAACAAGCAGAGTGATCTTGTCTGCTGTGGTTTCAAATAATAATAATAATACAAATTGTGTCAGTAAAATAATAATACAAACAACAACAACGTATTGTCGAAGGCTTTCATGGCTGGAATCACTAGGTTCTTGTAGGTTTTTTTCGGGCTATATGGCCATGTTCTAGAGGCATTTCTCCTGACGTTTCGCCTGCATCTATGGCAAGCATCCTCAGAGGTAGTGAGGTCTGTTGGAAATAGGAAAATGGGTTTATTGTTGTTGTTGTTGTTCATTCGTTCAGTCGTCTCCGACTCTTCGTGACCTCATGGACCAGCCCACGCCAGAGCTCCCTGTCGGCCGTCACCACCCCAGCTCCTTCAAGGTCAGTCCAGTCACTTCAAGGATGCCATCCATCCCTCTTGCCCTTGGTCAGCCCCTCTTCCTTTTGCCTTCCACTTTCCCCAGCATAATTGTCTTCTCTAGGCTTTCATGTCTCCTCATGATGTGGCCAAAGTACTTCAACTTTGTCTCTAGTATCTTTCCCTCCAGTGAGCAGTCGGGCTTTATTTCCTGGAGGATGGACTGGTTGGATCTTCTCGCAGTCCAAGGCACTCTCAGCACTTTCCTCCAACACCACAGCTCAAAAGCATCGATCTTCCTTCGCTCAGCCTTCCCGAAGGTCCAGCTCTCACATCCGTAGGTGACTACAGGGAATACCATGGCTTTGACTAGGCGGATCTTTGTTGCCAGTCTGATGTCTCTACTCTTCACTATTTTATCGAGACTGGACATTGCTCTCCTCCCAAGAAGGAAGCGTCTTCTGATTTCCTGGCCACAGTCTGCATCTGCAGTAATCTTTGCACCTAGAAATACAAAGTCTGTCACAGCCTCCACGGTTTCTCCCTCTATTTTCCAGTTGTCAATCATTCTTGTTGCCATAATCTTGGTTTTTTTGACGTTTAGCTGCAACCCGGCTTTTGCGCTTTCTTCTTTCACCTTGATTAGAAGGCTCCTCAGCTCCTCCTCGCTTTCGGCCATCAGAGTGGTGTCATCTGCATATCTGAGGTTGTTAATGTTCCTTCCAGCAATTTTCACCCCAGCTTTGCATTCATCCAGCCCCGCACATCGCATGATGTGTTCTGCATACAAGTTAAAGAGGTTGGGTGAGAGGATGCAGCCTTGCCGTACGCCTTTCCCAATCTTGAACCAGTCTGTTGTTCCGTGGTCAGTTCTGACTGTTGCTACTTGGTCCTTGTACAGATTCCTCAGGAGAGAGACAAGGTGGCTTGGGATGCCCATCCCACCAAGAACTTGCCACAATTTATTATGATCCACACAGTCAAAGGCTTTAGAATAGTCAATGAAGCAGAAGTAGATGTTTTTCTGAAACTCCCTGCCTTTCTCCATTATCCAGCGGATATTGGCAATTGGTCTCTCGTTCCTCTACCTTTTCTAAACCCAGCTTGAACATCTGGCAACTCTCGCTCCATGTATTGCTGGAGTCTTCCTTGCAGGATCTTGAGCATTACCTTACTGGCATGAGAAATAAGGGCCACTGTACGGAAGTTTGAGCAGTCTTTCGCATTTCCCTTTTTTGGTATGGGGATAGAAGTTGAATGTGGAATGGCTGGGGTGGGGCAAAGAGCTCTCTGCTGAAGCTAGGTGTGAATGTTTCAGCTGACCACCTTCATTAGCATTTGAAGGCCTGCTGAGCCTGGGAAAATGTTCTGTTGAGAGGTGTTAAGATGTGCCTGGTTGTTTCCTCTCTGCTGTTTTACTGTAGAATTTCAACAGAAAGGAAGAGTCCATGAAAATGAACAAAATCTGGCTACCAGTATTAAAAAACTCTAAAATTACAACAGCAAAACAGCAGAGAGGAAACAACCAGGCACATCTTAACACCTCTCAACAAAAGATTTTCCCAGGCTCAGCCAGGCCTTCAGATTCTAATGAAGGTGATCAGGTGAAACATTCACACCTAGCTCCAGCAGAGAAGAGCTCTTTGCCCCACCCCAGCCATTCCACAGATATATAAACCCATTTTCCTACTTCCAACAGACCTCACTACCTCTGAGGATGCTTGCCATAGATGCAGGCGAAACGTCAGGAGAGAATGCCTCTAGAACATGGCCCTATAGCCCGAAAAAACCTACAAGAACCTAACAACAACAACAATAAGAACGATTTTGTCTGCTGTGGTCTCATCTTGTTGTTTCTAATAATAATAATAATAATAACAACAACAACAACAACAACAATAATAATATTAGAAGTCTTTATTTATATTCCGCTTTTCTCTCTCACTGGAGAAAAGGTAAGGACGCGCAAAAAAAGCAGTGGGGGGCTTGGAGAGCGGCCTGTGAGAAGGCGCGTTCACACGTGACGGCGCTGGGGAGAGGCAGAGACGCGTGTCGGGGAGGGGGCGTGGCTTGGGAGCCATGGGCGGGGCCGGCCGAAAGCGGCGGCGGCGGCGTCTCCGGCCACTCCCCTCGTCGTGGGCTTGGGCCGGGAGCATGGCGCGCTGGTTCCGGGACCGGCTCCTCTTCCGAAAGCCGCCGCCGCCGGAGCCCGATTACAAGCAGCCCGGCCCCGAGGAGGAGGAGGAGCAGGAGGAAGGCGGGGAGGAGGCGGAGGAAGAGGCGAAGGGCTCTCAGCCGGACCTGGTGGCCGCCTATCGGCTCCAGAGGGAGCGGGACTTCGAGGACCCCTACGCGGCCGAAGAGAAAGGCGAGCCACAGCCGCCGCCTCGTCCCGGTCTCCCGCCCAGCCAAGGGCGCCGCTGCCGCTCCCCCAGGAGGCGCCTGATCCGGGTGGAGGCGCAAGCAATGGCGGCCTCGGATGCCTTCTCCTCCCGGCCCAGCCAGAGGAAGGTGCCTGCCTCTTGGGGAAGGGTTCGGGTTTGGTCTCCGGGTCCCTTCTTCCACACAGCCAGGATGAAGGCAGAAAATCCCACAGTATCTGCTTTGAAGCGGGTTATCTCAGAGTCCACACACAGACAATGCGGGATTTCCTGCCTTGATATTCAGGGATAGAGGGCCTCCCTTAGCAAGTGGCTGGGGATGATGGGATTGGGATGCTTTCTAATGGGAGCCACATTGAGAATCCATATTTACAGAAAAAGCAGGATGTAAATAAACATAATAAACACAACATTGAGACCCCTTATTTAGAGAAAAGGCAGGATGCAAACAAACATAATAAACACAACAATAATAATAATAATTAATAGAGTGGCTGGGGATTATTATTATTATTATTATTATGGGGATTATTGTTGTTGTTATTATTATTATAGGGATGATGGGATTGGGATGCTTTCTTATCTGAGCCACATTGAGACTCCTTATTTAGAGAAAAAGCAGGGTGTAAACAAACATAATAAACACAATAATAATAATAATAATAATAATAATAATAGAGTGGCTGGGGATTATTATTATTATGGAGATTATTATTATTATTATAGGGATGATGGGATTGGGATGCTTTCTAATGTGAGCCACATTGAGACTCCTTATTTAGAGAAAAAACAATGTAAACAAACATAAGAAACACAATAAACACAATAATAATAATAATAATAATAATAATAGAGTGGTTGGGGATGATGGGATTGGGATGCTTTCTAATGGGAGCCACTTTGAGACTCCTTATTTAGAGAAAAAGCAGGATGTAAACAAACATAAGAAACACTAATAATAATAATAATAATAATAGGGTGGCTGGGGATTATTATTATTATGGGGATTGTTGTTATTATTATTATTATAGGGATGATGGGATTGGGATGCTTTCTAATGGGAGCCACATTGAGTCTCTTTATTTAAAGAAAAAGCAGGATGTAAACAAACATAATAAACACAATAATAATAATAATAATAATAATAATAGTGTGTCTGCGGATGATGGGATTGGGATGCTTTCTAATGGGAGCCGCATTGAGACTCCTTATTTAGAGAAAAAGCAGGATGTAAACAAACATAATAAACACAACAACAATAATAGACACCCTCTGGTATTGATAGTCCCCAAAGCCAATAAGGGGGTGCCTCTGTGGACTGTCACGCCCATCATCCCCAATTATTGATAGTCCACAAAGCCAATGAGGGGGGTGCTTTTTTGGACTGTCACGCCCAATTAACGATAATCCCCAAAGCCAATGAAGGGGTGCCTTTGTGGACTGTCACTCCCACCAGTAGGAAGTTTGAATCCGGGGAGCGAGATGAGTTCCTGCTGTTAGCCCCAGCTTCTGCCAACCTAGTGGTTTGAAAACATGCTAATGTGAGTAAGAAGTACCACTCCAGTGGGAAGGTAATGGCACTCCATGCTGGCCACATGACCTTGGAGGCATCTACGGACAATGCCGGCTCTTCGGGTTAGAAATGGAGATGAGCACCACCTCCCAGGGTCGGACACGACTAGATTTAATGTCAAGGGGAAACCTTTACTTTTTTGACCCTCCTTTTCTTCTGCCAAACTTTCAGATGTTGATCTTGGACGACTATGCGGATCCCTTCGACACCCGGCAAGAGGCCGGAACCAGTCCAAAAGGGGAGCAGGAAAGGGCCAGAAGCGAAGGCTACATGGAGCCCTATGAAGCGCAGCGGTTGCTGGCCGGTAAGCAGTTTGTTTGATGCTCTGTTTGTGGTGGTGAACTCTTACGGTGCATCTACACCAGGTATGGGCAAACTTCGGCCTTCAGGTATTTTGGACTTCAGCTCCCACAATTCCTAACAACTAGTTGAAATGCGTAAACGTCCCCAAATTCAAGGCCAGAATGAATCCAAGTGGGATATTAAAAAATAAACATCATCATCATCATAGGATTTATTTATTTATTTGGTTCCAGAGATCCAGAAGAAAGGCTCCAAGGATGGACTCGCTTCTCCGAAGCCTTTGCACTTATACGATGTTCCTTACGAACCGTCTGAGAATGGCACAGACCCAGGGCCATTGCCTGGTGCCCCGTGCCGATATTCGTGGCTTCCGGAAGATGATGAGCGGCCGCCGGAAGAATACGATCAGCCCTGGGAGTGGAAGAAGGAGCGGATCTCCAGGGTCTTTGCCGGTAAGTCACAAAAGGGTGAAAAAGGTGATTTGAAGTAGGAGGAAGGCGGAAAAGATTGAGATTCTTACAGGCATGGGGAAATTTCAGCCCTCCTAGTGTTTTGGACTTCAGCCACTTAAGCTGACCTAGAGATGCATAGAGTTGTAGTGGAGGACCTAGAGATTCATAGACTTGTAGTGGAGGACCTAGAGATTC